TGACTACATGCATAAGTAGGTATTGTATCTGTTGGTACTGTATTTTTTACAGCAATCGGTTAGTAATTTTTTTTAGACATGCAGCCTTAAAGCAAATTTATAAGATTTAGGTACTTCTTTTATGTGTGTTTTATCTGTTTTTGTTAATAAATGTTCATTAAATTAAAGATTTGTAATCAATTTATGTATATTAAGTAAGTAACAAGTTATGGGTTTTTAGTTAATTTTTATTACTCAAACTACTTTAATGGTTTGCTTTAGTAATCTCTGCAGAGCAGTGACCTACACAATTTTTAATTTAATTTGTTACATATCAATATATTTTATCTTTTCTATATTGTAAATACAATAAATACGAAATAGTCACTGAATCTATGACTTTTGTTTTAATGTATGGTCTTAATCTTAATCTTAATGTATGGTGCAGGGACTTGGATTATGAAAATATCTGATGAAAGCTTATAAGATTATAATTTTTTTTATAGTTATACCCATTATAATTGGAGGATTTGGAAATTGACTAGTTCCTTTAATATTAAGTGCTCCAGATATAGCTTTTCCACGAATAAATAATATAAGATTTTGATTATTACCTCCATCATTAACTCTTCGAACGCAAGATTATACGTCGCATATTTGGTCCAATTAGAGACGAATATGGCACCTATTGGCCAAAATAGGGCTAAAAAAACCAGCACTAAGCTGGATAAGCATAGATAACCCAACAAAAAAATTATTCAATATGCACCAGAAGAAAGAAAGAAAAGAGGGCGTCCGAGTTTACGCTGGATGGACAATGTGGATCCAACCGCGCAACAGCTTGGAAGAAGAAACTAAAGAATGATAGCAAATGAGAGAGATACGTGGAGGAATTTTGAAAGTGAGGCCAAGATTCAACTAGGATCGTTGAATCTAATGATGATGCTACTAATAATGATGATGAAAAAAAATCTTATACAAACAAATTTACTTTTTTACAAATACTAACCAATTTCTTTATAAAATAGTTGTAGTCAGTTTTATATCTTGTAAACATTTATTTTAGTGACGCATTAACCAAATAAAACAAATTTATATAAAACTTATTTAACATATTAAATGGTATAAAACTAAACAAAACTACAAAGTTCAAAGAAATACAACAGTCTATTAACTTTTACATTCTATTAAAAAAAAGAAATGGTTAATCAATATTCAATTTTCTAAATGATCCGTCAATGCCAAAGAGAGTTTCACTATTTATTTTTTTACCAATTCTTAATTTTTCATCTACTCCATACTTTGTCTCTTCCATGAAGTAATTATTAAAGTCTAAAAGTTTTTTTTCCATATCTGCTTGAATCTCCGGTATAGAACCATTGATACCACCATATTCAATTGGTAGATTCTCCTTTGGTATTACTTTATAAAGATCTTCTAGGCTTTTATGAATGAAAAACTGTTAAAAAGTATCAACGAACAAAAAAATATTATCTTTAATATCTAAATGTTATTTACAATATTTAATTAAATATATATACTTACTCGTTGCTTTAGTTTTTCACTTAAAAAATTTCTTGCAATGCTTAATATTGCTAAGGTTTCCTTTGGACAATTAACGAAATGAAATCCTTTCACGCGCATTGGCTCTGCTTTATCAATAAAAATCAGTAGCTTTTTTACAAAAATTGGATTAAATTGTTTCACAAATGTCAAGTGTAATTTGGAGAAATCCAGAATATGAATCAAACCACTTATAATACCATTATCATCCGTATTTATTTCAAATTCACTAACCAGTATATAATAGCGAAACAAAGTACTTAAGTGATATTTATTTGGATCCACATTTTTATAAACTGCTAAATGTATACGTTGACCACCAATACCACCAAGTGGATTCGGGAGTGCTACAAAATAGCTTAAATTAAAAATGAAAAATGAAAAATCTTTAAATTATATGTAACATATAATCTTACCCTAAACGTCCAAGTTCAATAAATTCTTCATTCATATAAAAATTAGTAAATATTTCAGGCATTAAGGCTTTGATTGTATAATAAAAATCTATTTTAGATTTAGCTTTTTCCATACTATATTTACAGCCTCTTAAAAAAGTTACTAAAAATTGGTCATCTGTACGAGCCCTCAAATGTGGTTGTTTTTGGATCCATGTTCTTAGTGTTGAAATATCTTCAACTATACGACTCTCAACTTCATTTAACTCATTCTTGGCAATTGCTTTTAATTCTTCATTTAGTGGTCGTATTTCAGTCATATTAAGATAAAAATGTCACATCTATACTCAAGAAAGAACAATTTTCAACTGACAGAGAGACCTTTAAATGGATTTTACCATATGTTATACGTATGTTATAACATTGTTCTTTCTAATTGTTCAATTATTTGTTTTTTATTGTTTTTTTATGTTATGTGTTTTGAATTTATCCATTTATTAATTTGTTTAAACTTAATACTTAATAAAGTGTGTATATAATTAATAATTAGAATAACAATTGAATATCAGATATATAATGATTACTTATAATTACAGTTTTTGCTTAATTATTTAAACAATTCTTATAGAATGTAGTGTAAAAAGTGTAATATAATAATAAAGTGTAATGCAGTGCAAAACAAAAAAATGAAAAAATTGAATATGAAAATTTCTTTACTATCATCTCCTTTCCTATTCGAAATAGATTTGCTATCATAAAACAAAACTCAGTGAAAAAATATATTAGAGACAGAGCTCTAAAATTATTCAGTAAAGTTGATACGCTACTTAACCACGCCCTAATAATCCTCAAATCCTCTTCTGGACTCTCAGGAGGATATGCTGATTTAAGGTCCGTCATTAACTAAAAGACAAATAAATGACATGATTTCTTAGCCTAGTTAAAGCCTTGTGTGGGGAAGAGATAAGCCCCCAGCCATTATAGAGTAAAAGTGAGTAATAGCACTATAATTCAAGAAAAAGAATCAAGAATCAAGATTATTGGAGTAATCTCTTATTTTTATTTTATAGAATTAATTTTAATTTTAAAATTTAAGGTAAAGAATTTATTTTATTTAAACTATTTATTTTTCGTATTTATCCTTTCTGGTAATATATGTTATTACTATAATCAAATTATTGCTTGTCTGTTTAGCTTTTTTAAATAACTTGATGTTAAATTAGGTTAAAAATTCTCTTTATAACGAGATATATGTTAATGTATATAAAAATTACAATTTTCATCGATAAACTATTTTGCATTTTATTTTGATTTATTAATAAATTTCTTAATACTCCTATATAAAATTTTATGAAATATTTAATGAAAGTTTCATCTGAAATATCATTCATAATATCAGTAGTCATGTTATAAAAGACCAAAATAAATATATATTCTACTGAAATGCTAAGATCCATACAATAGCATTTAAGCTAAGATATTTCTTTTAGTTCTTCAAATCTTTAATGATACGAACTAGAGACGAGGTTAGCTGAATTGCATTAGATCCATTGAAGGGCTATGTTCATTTTTAGTACTTGTGAAACTTTACTAGGTATCTACAAACCGATTGCCCTAATGTGTGCTCCGTTATTAGTTTATATAGGTATATAGTAATTGAGAGATAGCACGATCTGTGGACATTTCTTGTTGAATAGTCTTTCTTTGCCAATGCAAAACTGAGTGTTGCAATGTGCTTTTGTTTGACTGTAACTCTCTTTCATCATACATTATCATAACAAATTATACATAACAAATTATAATCTTTTAAAAATAGAAATATTATCAAAGACTGCACTAAAATATCTAAAATTAAATTTGGTAAAATACTAGACTTTTGCCTGAAGGACAATAATTATCTCAATTTTAACAAACAATTGTACTAACAGGTGTTCGATAAATGCTTGGCAAATCCTTTGATTTCTGCTATAACAGATATAGCATTAAACAAAATTCTAGACGAAAATCTTGACATTTTTACTCTTTGATAGCTAAGGGGTTTCTGCAGAGTTCCACCCTTCTCACTGATTAATTTATATATTCCTCAAAAGCTTTGTGTTTATGACTGATTTAAAATTTGCGTACCGCAATGAAAAAAGTTTGTCCAGCACAGGTGATTCTAGTAATATTCTTTGTCATGTAGACGCACTCGGGAAATCGATTTGACTATTGATATGATATTGATGCAATTTACTACTATGGGCAACTTTTTCCATTACCTTCTTTGGTTCAAGAGTTATAAATTCTCACATGAAAATTACAATATAAAAAGCTTATAACTTTAAAAATCGGTCTTGTCACCTTTATATTTAATTCTATAATTAGATCAGCCCCATTATTATTTTTAATTATTTGTTAAGAATCTTTGATTATTTATTTTGTCCATTCATTATTTATTGACTTTGATTATGTAATCAATAATTCAATAATAATAATTAACCAATAATAATAATAATATTCTAGTTTTTTTGTGATAATCACAGATTGATTAACGTCATTTGTTGGAGACGCAATTAGTGAGTTTTTATTTTTATTAATGCATTTTTAGTTTAAAGTGAAATAATAGGTTAACGAAGGACTCAATTATTCCTTAATAGAAATTACTTCATTACTTTGTGTAAGTTATATATATACAGTGAATCAGACCCTATTTCGTGTTTTGGAACATTAAACATTTAATATTATTTATATATATTTATGATATAAATTTATGTGATGGGAATGGTAACACACCTTGAATAATTACAGGACTAATCAGCGATTAAAGTTAACTAAGAGTAAAAAAAATCTGTCCTAAAGTCTGACATAGTGGGAAAATTTACTTTTAATATTACATTTAACCAAAATCCTTTGTTAAATCTAGACGCCAGATATTTGCAATCTACCCAATTCAATTTATTAAAAAACACTAAATAGTAAGAAAAAAAACCAAACGAAGAAAGAATATTCAGTTGTTCGTTTTTGATAATTATATTTCTTGAATATTTCAGTTGGATTGAATAAAGAATGTTATTAGTTCTTTTTTATATAAAACACAAAAAAATATTTTGATAAGTGTTTATAATCAATCAAATTGTCTTATATTATTGATAACTACTTTACATAATAAAATTTGGTGAGAATTGTAGTTTAGTAAAGTTACAAACCTTTTACAAGTGTTATAAAATTAAATCGCTTCCATGAAACGAATATTCCTGTAGACCTTCTATTTTAACAAAACCACTTTTAATCAATATTTAATTTTCGAAAGGATCCATCAATGCCAAAGAGAGTTTCACTATTTACCTTTTTACCAATTCTTAATTTTTCATTCACGCCATACTGTGTCTCTTCAATGAAATAATTATTAAAATCTAAAAGTTTCTTTTCCATATCTGCTTTAATCTCCGGTATAGAACCATTGGTGCCACCATATTCAATTGGTAGATTCTCCTTTGGTATTACTTTATAAAGATCTTCTAGACTTTTGTGAATGAAAAACTGTTAAAAGATATTAACAAAAAATGAATAATATATTTTTTATTAATAATATTAATAATAATAAATAATATTTAAATAATATTTTTGCTTACTCGTTGTTTTAGTTTTTCATTTAGAAAACTTCTCACAATGTTTAAAAACACTGCTCCTTTCTGTGGACAATTAACGATGTGTAATCCTTTGTTGCGCAATGGCTCCGCTTTATCAAGAAAAACTGATATTTTTTTTAAAAATATTGGATTAAATTCTTTTATGAATGCTGGCTTGTATTTGGAGTAATCCACAATTTTAACAAAACCATTTATGATACCAGTATCATCCATATTTATCTCAAACTCATGAACTATTGTATGATATCGAAAATATTGTTTTAAACTGTTTTTATTTGGATCTAGATTTGTAAAGTTTGTTAGGTATATACGTGGGCCACCGATGCCGCCAAGTGGCTTTGGAAGTACTAAAAAGCAACTTAAGTTAAATATAAAGAATATGAAAATTATAAATGTGTTACATATATATTGGTTACAAATCTATTATCTTACCCTAAGCGTGCAAATTCAACGAATTCTTCAGTCATTTGAAGATTAACAAATATTTCAGGTAATAACGCTTTGATAGTATAGTAATAGTCAATTTTTGATTTAGCTTTTTCGATACTATATTTGCAGCCTCTAAGAAATGTTACTAAAAATTGGTCATCTGTACGAGCCCTCAAATGTGGTTGTTTTTGGATCCATGTTCTTAGTGTTGAAATATCTTCAACTATACGACTCTCAACTTCATTTAACTCGTTCTTGGCAATTGCTTTTAATTCTTCATTTAGTGGTCGTATTTCAGTCATATTAAGATAAAAATATCACATCTATACTCAAGAAAGAACGATTTTCAACTGGCAGAGAGGCCTTTAAACTGTTTTATAGCATATATATGAATGTTTAAATATTATTCCTTCTAATTATTTAATTACCTCTTTTTTATTGTGTTTTTTGTAAGTGTTGAATTTAGTTACTTATTAATTTGTTTAAACCTAATAAAATATAATACTTATATACAGATACTTAATAAAGTGTGTATATAATTCATAGTTAGAATAACAATTGAAGATAAAATAGAAAATGATTACTTATAATTACAGTTTTTGTTTAATTACTTAAACAATTCTTTTAGAATGCAGAGCAAAAAAATTATAATTTTTATAAAAAATTTAAAATTAAAAAGTTTTACGCTGCCCAACTCCGCCCTAACAAACCTTAAGTTCACCTCTGGACCCACAGGATGATATGCTGACCTACGGTTCGACATCAATTAAAAGATATATAAACGATATGAATTCCTGCATAGTTAAAGTCTAGTGTGGGGCAGGGATAAGCCTCCCAGCCACAAAAGAGTAAAAGTACGCAATAGCACTAACTCAAGAAACCACAACAACGACAACAATATCAAAATTTCCTTACTGTCATATTTCTTTCTAATTGAAATATATTTCCTATCATAAAATATAAATAATTTTAAATTAAGAAAATATATCTATATATATAAAAGAAAGATGTGTTTTTGTTACACCACTTATAACTCAAGAACGGCTGAACCGATTTAGCTGAAAATTGGCAGGGAGGTAGTTTAAGGCCAGGAGAAGGATATAGGCTGAACCGATTTAGCTGAAAATTGGCAGGGAGGTAGTTTAAGGCCAGGAGAAGGACATAGGATACCTGTTTATCCCGTTCACGACAAAGTAGGTTTTGAAATTATCAAATTTTTGATATAAGAAAATATTTTATTGGAATTTTCGAATAGCAAAGAAAGAAATAAAGTACAAACACAAAAATTTATTTTTAATTTTATTG